TATTTTCAAATGATTTATACCAAAAAGACTGTTCTTGGCTATACTATAATTAAGATATAATAACCTAATACATTTAGCAATTTCAAGTCTTAAATTGATTATATTCAATTAGATTTGAATAACTTGGAATTTGGATAAATGCCTTTTTTTCATTTTTTGCCTTTACAGAGGTAAGATAAATGTTTTTAATATGTGGAAGTATAAGCTTGTCAATACACTAAATAAATTTCACCCAAGAATATAAAAGAAGAATCTGGCCTATTCACATGATACAATGTACAAAAATGTACAATAGTCCTTTCATCCATAAATCATTTAACCTGGGTAAATAACTCAAAATGTTTAACAATCATAACAGTAACATTAATTAATAGATAATACAAATAAAACATTTAAATTATAAGTAAACATGAATATTTTTAAACTGCCTACTGAGTAATGTAAGTCGTATCAAACCATTCATCAAATTATTCTTCTAATTTCCAAGAAAAAAATCTATATACCTGAATTTTTAAAGGATTTTGATGTTCTGGCTAATGCCCTTTCTGGCCTTAGTCCACCTGCACCCAAGTGAATAAGAAAAATAAAACGGCTTTTCATGTTCTTTATTGCCAGGAGAAAAATATACAGAAAAGTAGAAAATTTTTTCCTAGTGCTACAGATTACTTCTCAGTATTTTGGTGTTGATTCTGTAATTGTTTTTGGTTTAACCAATGTCATATATGAAATTTTTACTCTTCATTAAGCATAAAACATTCTCGGCAGATGCCTTCTGTTCTCAGCCACAATAACGTAAACGTGGAAATGAAGGAAGACCACCCAAATGAGAAACGTTATGGGAGTCAGCATCATCACCCGGTGTGGGTGGGTGCAAGGGCCTGGGGATGGAAAACGGGAAAGGCTTCAGGTGGTTCTGACCGCCCGCTATTGGAAACTCGAGGGGAGCTAACAATAAGCAGGATGTTTTCTGTGACTGGTTTGGGGAGCGTATTCCACTTTCTCGGGTTGGTTCTGACAATGGGAGGGTGGTACAAAAAATAGAGGAGCAGGCAGGTACTCCTGACCACTCCTTACCACGCCGCCGACTGCCTGGTTACTGCAGCAGTCCGTTTATTGTCATGCGTTGTCTGGGCACTGTCTGTTGGCATACCGTCTCTCAATTTTTTTTTCCTGATAACTACTGTGCAAAAGTTGGAAAAAATTAACATTACCTACAACCTTAGCCACACACCCCCTCCAGGAAATAATGCTGGTGTCACAGAATTCTAACGATGTACTGTCATTTTGTAACCTTGCTTCTCCACAGCATGTTGTCACTTCAAACTTAAGTTCTTGCTGATGGAACCGCATAAGGGTCCGTGCCGTTCTTCAGAACACTGATTTCCATTTCTTCCTGGTATACTTGAGGGAACACTAGGGCATGAATAATAATCACCTGGGTGAAAGGATTCCTTTCTTGGGGTTGCAGTAATTGCCAGGTTTCTTTCCACGGTTTTGCATTTGACTGTTCTCCCCGCACCCTTGTCAGGATTGGGTGTTTCTTTAAAGGGATGGTTTCTGCTGTTAAAAGTGAGTGTCGGCCAGGTCCTGTGGCTCAAGCCTGTAATCCCGGCACTTTGGAAGGCAGAGACGGGCGGATCACCTGAGGTCAGGAGTTACAGACCAACATGGAGAAACCCCATCTCTGCTAAAAATACAAAAATTAGCTGGGTGTGGTTGCAGCCACCCGTAATCCCAGCTACTCGGAAGGCTGAGGCAGGAGAATCGCTTGAACCCGGAGGGCAGACACTGCAGTGAACCGAGATCACGCCACTACACTCCAGCCTGGGCGACAGACCGAGAGAGACTGTCTCAAAAAAAAAAAAAAGTGTCAGCTCGCTTTTTATTTCTGATTACTTCGCAAAAGTTGGAAAATAAAACATTTTTTAAAATGAAAATTACGGCCGGGCGCGGTGGCTTACTCCTATAATCCCAGCACTTTGGGAGGCCGAGGCTGGTGGATCACGAGGTCAAGATATCGAGACCATCCTGGTCAACAAGGTGAAACCCCGTCTCTACTAAAAATACGAAAATTAGCTGGGCATGGTGGCGCACGCCTGTAATCCCAGCTACTCGGGAGGCTGAGGCAGGAGAATTGCTTGAACCCAGGAGGCGGAGGTTGAGGTGAGCCGAGATCGCACCATTGCACTCCAGCCTGGGTAACAAGAGCGAAACGCCATCTCAAAAAAAAAAAAAAGAAAGAAAAGAAAGAAAATTACAACCCTAGCCACAGAGATTTACAGCTAATTTAATTTTTTTTTTTTTTTTTTTTTTTTTCTTTTTCCAACAAAGCTACAACCCTAGCCACGAAGAGTTGCCGGGTGTCTGGCTGTAGGGAGCCCAAGCCCTCCACCGGGTGGGCCTGCGGCGCTCCCGGGGCACCAGCTTAGCGCTCGGCGGCCTAGCGCCTCCGCCGCCCTCTCCCGAAAGCTTGGGTCTGGTGAGCCCCTCCGTCTCAAAGGCTAACTGTTCGCTACTGCCCAAATGCGCTACCGCGCGTACCGAGCCGAACCGAGCCGGGCAGGGTGGCCCCTCAGCCCCGCCCCGCGTTGTGCGGCAGTCCAGGTAACTGGGAAGCAGAAGCCCTGCTGTCTCAACTCCAGTCTCCCAAGGCCGGAAGCCGCTACCTTAGGAAGACGCGTGCACTGCCCTGGTCAAACTGCAAGTCTGCGAGCAGGAATCCCGCACCCACCGGCACCCAAAACTCCTTCTGAGGTCCAGAGGGGCCCAGAAGACCAACGAGATGCGCGGAAGGATAGAGGGGTCCCAGTGACCAGGAGCTGGGCTGCGGCGGGCCGAGCAAAGAGCGTACGCGCATGCGAGGCGGCACCCGAGACTAGAGAAGCCCGAGCGCGTACGTGGGGCGGGGCCGCGACTGGCCAAGCGCCGAATACGCGCGCGTGTGCGCGGCGGCCTACACAGGCCAGAATGGCGCCGCCACGGCATTCTCGGGTCCTACGCTGCTGCAGCTGCCGCCTCTTCCAAGCGCACCAGGTCTAGCGGGTGCCAGCCCCTTGCTCCTCCGGCGCGGGCACAGCCGACGGGCAGTGGTGGGACCGTGGGTGCTGTCTCGAATGGCTCCGGGATGCACGTGGGCCGGAACGAGTGCAGGGACCGCTGAGGACGGGTCTTGTTGGGGTCGCCCCCGCATAATGTAGTTCTGGGCTTTTTGTTTAGTTCTTGTAGAAACCAGAGGTAATGGTTCTTGCGGAGGTGGCTTCTCGTGACTTGTAGCAGGTAGTGGGAGAATCAGGTTGAGGATAGCATCTTTTAGGCAGAGCCTAGCCGGCCAAGTGGCCCTGCTCAGTTTCAATGCGAGGGGGAGGACAGGTTTTGTTGTTGTTGTTGTTGTTGTTGTTTTTGAGGCCGAGTTTCGCTCTTGTTACCCAGGCTAGAGTGCAGTGGCGCGATCTCGACTCACCGCAACCTCCGCCTCCTGGGTTCAGGCAATTCTCCTGCCTCAGCCTCCTGAGTAGCTGGGATTACAGGCACGCATCACCATGCCCAGCTAATTTTTTGTATTTTTAGTAGAGACGATGTTTCACCATGTTGACCAGGATGGTCTCGATCTCTTGATCTCGTGATTCCCCCCTGCCTCAGCCTCCCCAAGTGCTGGGATTACAGGCATGAGCCACCGCGCCCGGCTTGTATCTTTTTTTAGAGACGGGGTTTTGCCGTGTTACCTGGGCTGGTCAGAAACTCCTGGGCTCAAGTGCTCTACCCGCCTTGGCTCCCAAATTGCTGGGACTACAGGCGTGAGCCACCCCTGACCATCATGGTCATTTTCAACCCTATGAAATATGAGTTGGCTGGCCCCAGTGGTTCAGGCCTGTAATCCCAGGACTTTGGGAAGCCCAATAGGGCAGATCACTTAAGCCCAGAAGTTCCAGACCAGCCTGGGCAACGTAGTGAGACCTTGCCTCTACTAAAATTCAAAATAAAATAGCTAGGTGTGGTGGTGCGTGCATCGGTAGTCCTAGGTACACAGGGGTGCTGAGGTGGGAGGGGCACTGAGGCAGGAGAATGGCTTCAGTCCAGGAGGCAAAGGTTACAGTGAGGTGTATTCGTGCTATTGCACTACAGCCTCGGCGACAGAGCCAGACCCTGTCTCAGAAACAAAGAAAAAAATGACTTGAAACCAAAAAGGACGTTGGCCATCTTAATTGCAAGTAAAATACCAATTTAACACATTTAACTTCAACAACCTTTGAATTAGGCATCATTCCAATCTTACAGACATGAGAATTCTGTAAGGGTTTTCCCCTCCTTTCCAATTTTTATACCGCTTACTACTAATTCCATGAGAAATCCAAAGAAATCAAGTGTTTTCTCCATCTAATAAGTGGCAAAACCATACTCTCTCTCAGCAGTTACCAGAATTAATTCCTTTACCAGTTACTGTGTGTCCTAAACTTTTTTAAATGCTTTTCATACTTGCTTACATACTCAATGGAAAATTCCATTTTATTGGTGTTTTAAGGTAGAAGAAGCTGGGAAATAAATGCTAAAACATACGATATACCCACTTCAATTTTTGATAGATGCTCATTGTTCTCCTTAGAATCCTTTTGGATACTTCTCCCAAAATCCTTATGATTTTTTATTAGGATCACATTAATCATATTAATTTTAATGAATCAAGAGACATCTTGGTGATGTTAAACATGATTGATTACGTTTCTTCAAGTAACCCTGGCATCCCTTGGTAACATTTTATTTGTTGCTGTTATAAATAGACTCTTTATCCATTATCTCTTCTAACTAGATGCCTGCTTATACAAAAGCTATTTTAAATTTTGAAGATATCTTAATTTTGTACCTAACCACTATGTTAGATTGTCTGGTTTTTGTGGCTTTTCACTTCATTCTGTTGGCTTTTCAGATAAAAAAACTGTATCAGGTTGCAGCCGGGGAGGTGGCTCATGCATTTAATCCCAGCACTTCGGCAAGCCAAGGTGGGTGGGTCATTTGAGGTCAGGAGTTCCAGACCAGCCTGACTAACATGGTGAAACACTGTCTCTACTAAAACTACACAATTAACTGGGCATGGTGGCACATACCTGTAATCCCAGCTACTTAGGATGCTGAAGCAGGAGAATTGCTTGAACCTGGGAGGTGGAAATGGCAGTGAGCTGAGATTGCACCATGGCACTCTAGCACAGGCAATAAGAGTGAAACTCCATCTAAAAAAAAATTATATCAGGTATTTTATCTAGGAATAATGATAGCGTTTTCCCCTCCTTTCTAATCTTTATACCGCTTACAACTTTCTACTAATTCCATTAGATAGTACATCCAGAAAAAAATGGTAAATAATAGTGGGCAACTCTGGCTTGTTCATGTTCTTGACTTCCATGGGAATGCTGGTAGAGATTCTTCAGCATTAGAGCTGGGTTTATGGCATTTTATCATGTTAAGAGAAAACACATCTAGTCAGGTTTAACAAGAATTGAAAATAAATGTTGTGGAATTTATTTTTTAGACCCACAGGTGGTAGAGCTTCATTTTGGATTTTTGGGGCTTTTTTGTTTTGGTTTAGTTTGGTTTGGCTTTGAGAAACAGGCTCTTGCTATGCTACCCGGGCTGGCCTCAAACTCCTGGACTCAAGCAGTTTTGATCTCCCTAGTCACTGAGAGGACAGGCTTAAGCTACTGCACCCAGCCCAACTTGATTGTGTTTCCCAGCACCAACCCAGATTTGTTAAATAGTCTGTTTTCTCACTCTTTTAAAATTATTTTATGATTATTATTTTTTTTGGTGCTGTGACTCAAATTTGAACTCTTTTCCTACTCTTAAAGTGCCACCTTTATGATTATGATATGCTAAATTTTTACACATATATGTTGGTTTGTTTCTGGACTCTTTTTCTATCAATTTTTAAAATTGTTTCAGGTCAGGCCTGGTGGCTCACGCCTGTAACCCCAGCACTGTGGGAGGCCAAGGTAGGTGGATCACTTGAGGTCAGGAGTTTGAGACCAGCCTGGCCAACATGGTAAAACCCCGTCTCTACTAAAAATATAAAAATTAGTTGGGCATGGTGACACACACCCATAATCCCAGGTACTCGGGAGGCTGAGGCAGGAGAATAGCTTGTACCCAGGAGGCACATGTTGCAGAGAGCCAGGATTGTGCCACTGCACTCCAGCCTGGGCAACAGAGTGAGACTGTCTCAAAAAAAAAAAAAATTATTTCAGATCCAATTCCATTTAGTTTTAAATAATTATCTGAGTTGTATTTCTGAAATTTCATTGCAGGTAAAAAAGAGTGTCAAGTGGACATGCAAAGCTTGTGGAGAGAAGCAGTCCTTTTTGCGGGTGAGTCCTATGAAAGAGAAAGCAGGCAGGGCATATGCCTGCAGGGAGCCCTTCCAGGGAGTCCTAGCATGCCACAGCTGGGATCATCCTCTCTCACACAAACTTCACCAGACACAGAGCTCCTGCCCCTGAACTTCCTTTTCCTTTAGGAAGTGAAATTGATGGAGCAGTATCTGGAAAGGTACTGCCATTTGATTCTTCATTCAGCAAGTATTTGTTGAGTACCATCTGTGTCAGGCACGAGGGAAACAGTGGAAAGTAAGCCCATTGTCATTCTTGCCCTCACAGATGCACTTGTGTGGAAGGGGAAGAGAAATTAATACACACACGCATCTATATAATTTAAAACTTGACTGAACACAAGGAAAGGAAAGCACTGGGGACTGTTAGAAGATGACGAGGAATCAGACCAGCTAGGGAAGGCAGAGGCTGTTGGTGGAGGTGGGGGTGTGGGAGAGTGGGCTCAGGAAGTGGAGGCAGGCAGGGGCAGGCTGTAAATGCTCTTATCCAGCCTGCTGTTTGCACCTGACATTGAGCACATCTTTTCAGTCCATGCATATTGCCCCTCCTGAACTCCAAGGACCCCAGCTGTCCTGCGTCCTTTGCCTTACTGAATTTTCTCTACCTGCTTCAGCCCCAGTGCTGCCTCTCCCTTCAGCTCTCATCCTCCTACAGCCATGGTGCTTGCTTTCTGACCTTAAACCCAAATTTGCTCCCTCTTCAGGCCTTTGTGCTCACTGTGGAATTCCCCTCCCTCTTCTCATTATCCTATGAAAGTTATATATTAATGTATTTATGTGCAGATTGTCCATCTAAGACTGTAAGTTCCATGAGAACAGAGGCTTTTCCTTTTTTATTTACTGGTGTATCCTCAGCACATGAGTAAGTAACCAGTCCAACCTTGTTGGGCATTTAGATTGATTTCCCTTTCACTGTTATGCACAACTCTACAGTGAAACTTTCTATAAATACCTCTTTATTCACGTGATCAGCTGTTTACTGTTTACTTAGGACAAAGTACTAGAAGTTAAATTGCTATTTTTGGAGGGCTTTTGTGAGACAGAGTCTCACTTTGTCACCAGGATGGAGTATAATGGTGTGATCTTGGCTCACTGCAATCCCCGCCTTCCAGGTTCAAGTGATTCTCCTGCCTCAGCCTCCCGAGTAGCTGGGACTACAGGTGCGCACTACCTCACCCAGCAAATTTGGTTTTTTTTTTTTGGATTTTTAGTAGACAAACGGTTTCACCATGTTGGCCAAGGCTGGTCTTGAACTCCTGACGTCAAATGATTTGCCCACCTCAGCCTCCCAAAGTGCTGGGATTACAGGCGTGAGCCACTGAGCCTGGCCTGAATTGCTCTTTTAAAGGATATCTTTTGATCAAGGTTCTTTTAGTTGCAAATAATAGACAAAAACACTTTATAATGTTGATGAGTGCCTTCACCTGATATTTTTTTTAAAAAGGGATAAAAAACACTTCAGAATGGGTTCAGCAAAGTAAAAAAAATAAAACTGAAAATGTACTGGCAAGGTAATGAGATATCCCAGGGAATCCAAGGGGCAGAACTTCATTCCTGATCCCTTGAAGAACTAGCCCCAAGAACTGAAAAGCTGCCAACAAGCCAGGTATCAGCTTTTCCTCCCTTCTCCTCCCCGTCACCCAGCTTCTCTCTGTATCTTTGCTCGATTTTCTCTTCTCCTTCCCTTTCTGTTTCTCCCCAGACAATTCAGTCACATTCTCTACTCCAAGTCCACAGAATCTCATTCCAAGCCAAGTGGAAGAGCTGAGTCCCAGTTATAAATTCCTAGGAGAAGTAATCTGGTTGGCCCAGGCTGGTTGGGATGCCCACCTCTGGTCTAGTCAACTGGGATTGGGTCTCAGAAGACAGGGGCTGGCTTACTAGGTAAGCAGACAACCCACATGGTGAGCATGGCTTGTTTGAGATGTATGTATTTCTACATTCTCCTTGAGGAAGCCTTCCTACTCCCCTTAGTGCCTCTGTGCTATGTGTGGTATATGGTATATGGCTGACTAGGCCACAGTAACAAACACACACCAAAATTGTGGTGGCTTAATAAATAGACATTGTTTCTCTTGCTCTCATAACAGTCCTAGGAGTGGAGTGGTGCTAACTCAGCTCACTGCAACTTCTGCCTCCCAGGTTCAAGTGATTCTCCTTGTCTCAGCCTCCCAAGTAGCTGGGACTACAGGCATGCACCACCATGCCTGGCTAATTTTTTTGTAGTTTTAGTAAAGATGGGGTTTCGAGATACGTTCATCAGTTTGCTCCTTTCTGCCCGTGGATGCCGCCGAGGAAGCATCGTTAACGTCTCTCTTCTCCCTCCAATCATGTCTAAGTCAGAGTTTCCTAAAGAGCCGGAACAGCTGAGGAAGCTCTTCATTGGAGGGTTGAGCTTTGAAACAACTGATGAGAGCTTGAGGAGCCATTTTGAGCAATGGGGAACGCTCACAGACTGTGTGGTAATGAGAGATCCAAACACCAAGCGCTCCAGGGGCTTTGGGTTCATCACGTATGCAACTGTGGAGGAGGTGGATGCAGCCATGAATGCAAGGCCACACAAAGTGGATGGAAGAGTTGTGGAACCAAAGAGAGCTGTCTCAAGAGAAGAGTCACAAAGACTGGGTACCCACTTAACTGTGAAAAAAATACTCGTTGGTGGCATTAAAGAAGACACTGAAGAACATCACCTAAGAGATTATTTTAAACAGTATGGAAAAATTGAAGTGATTGAAATCATGACTGACAGAGGCAGTGGCAAGAAAAGGGACTTTGCCTTTATGCTCTTTGACAACCATGACTCCGTGGATAAGATTGTCATTCAGAAATACCATACTGTGAATGGCCACAACTGTGAAGTTAGGAAAGGCTGTGAAAGCAAAAGATGGCTAGTGCTTCATCCAGCCAAAGAGATTGAAGTGGTTCTGGAAACTTTGGTGGTGGTCGTGGAGTTGGTTTCAGTGGGAATGACAACTTTGGTCGTGGAGGAAATTTCGGTGGTCTTGGTGGCTTTGGTGGCAGCCATGGTAGTGGTGGATATGGTGGCAGGGAGGATGGCTATAATAGATTTGGTAATGATGGAAGCAATTTTGGAGGTGGTAGAAGCTACAATGATTTTGGCAATTACAACAATCAGTCTTCAGATTTTGGACCCACGAAGGGAGGAAACTTTGGAGGCAGAAGCTCTGGCCCCTTTGGTGGTGGCAGCCAATACTTTGCCGAACCACGAAACCAAGGTGGCTATGGCGGTTCCAGTAGCAGCAGTAGCTATGGCAGTGGCAGAAGATTTTAATTAGGAAACAAAGCTGAGCAGGAGAGGAGAGCCAGAGAAGTGACAGAGAAGCTGCAGGTTATAACAGATTTATGGACTCAGCCAAGCACAGTGGTGGCAGGGCCTAGCTGCTACAAAGAAGACATGATTTAGACAAATACTCATATGTATTGGCAAAAAACTCAAGGACTGTATTTGTGACTAATTGTATAACAGGTTATTTTCGTTTCTGTTCTGTGGAAAGTGTAAAGCATTCCAACAAAGGGTTTTAATGTAGATTTTTCTTCTTTTTTTTTTTGCACCGGTGCTGTTGATTGCTAAATGTAATAGTTTGATCGTGATGCTGAATAAATGTCTTTAAAAAAAAAAAAAAAGATGGGGTTTCACCATATTGGCCAAGCTGGTCTCAAATTCCTGACCTTGTGATACACCGGCCTTCGGCATCCCAAAGTGCTGGGATTACAGGCGTGAGCTACTGCGCCAGGCCCCTGAGCTTCTTTTATTCCCTGAGGCTCATCTGTAGCTGCTTCTAGCCACTGAGAAGGGCAAGTAAGTGTGTGGAGGAGCTACCAGGAGGCTTTGAGGGCCAGGCTGGGAAACAAGTGACACTACCATGAAAGAGCCTGGTTTCTTGGCCACCCTGACCGACCACACACACACACACACACACACACACACACACACACACACTGGAAAATGAAGTCTAGTTTTGTGCCCATTTCGGGAATAATGCTCTTCACTATCCAGCCAGCAGTCTCTGCCCTGTGGAAGAGCACACTGCTAGTGGTTATGCCAGCCTGGTCTTTTGCAACTTTGCCATCTCCCCCTCCAGTTACTCTTTTCTGTTCCCACTTGAATGTGCTCCAAACAGGACTACACTCCTTACCTATCCTTCAAAATTGCTTGTGTCAGTGTCAGCAGTGGTCTCTATGTTGCTGAAAACAATGATTAGTTCTCAGTTCTCACTTGACTTACTAGCTGCCAGGCACTGGGTATCTACAGGAATTCTGTGTCCATCGGACATCAAGAATGCTCCTGCCAGTGGGGTGTTGAGGAGCAGTGGACATGTATAGTGTATGTGTCTGATTACAGATGTGCTCTATTGCCCCAACGGACTTCACTTACAAAACACAGGTTCAAAGATCAGATTATTAAGAATTTCAAGACAGCAACAGCAGAGCAGATCTCATAGCCATGAAGCTGATTCTGCCTATGGTAGGACCCATACTCTCAAATTTCGTTTCTTACCATCTTTCCCTTAGACCACTCAGCTCCAGCCATGCTGGCCTCTTCACTGTTTCTCCAAAATGCCAGGCTTAGGGTCTTCATGCTCATTTTTATGTCATTGTTTCTGCTGGAATTCTTCCCCCAGACATCCATGTGGCTTACTTCTTCATATCTTCCTGTTTGGGCTCAAATGTTACCTTTTTAGAGATCCATTCTTTGACCATTTTGAACACCTTATGTAAAACTGTAGACTCTTATGTAAGGCCTCTTTCCTGGTCTCATCTTCCTTAGGAGCACTTATTAGCATCTGATAGGTTACATGCCTCACTTGTTTATTTCCTATCTCTTCTTACTTGAATGTGAGTTCCATGATGACAGCAAGTCTTGTCCACTTCTGTATTATCTACCTTTAGATGAGGCCTGGCACATAGTTGGTAGTCAATAAATATTTATTGGATGAATTTGTGACTGCTAAGTGGAAAAAAATGTATTTTATTTTGTATTCCTTTGATTATCAGTGAGAGTAAGTATCATTTCATTTATTTTTTAGCAGTATGTTATATAATATGGCAATATGTGTTACTTCTCTTGTGATGTTTTTATTCATGTTCACTAACCATTTTGTGTAGGGCTTTGGGTTGAGTTTGGCTTCATTAGGTAGAGTTCAGGGTGCTCACGGAACAGCCAGATAGACCTAAACTGTTAGTTCTGGAGATTGCTGGTTTGTAAATCATTCTAGAGATAGCAGTCAGTCATTAGGATTCCTGCATGCTGCTTTAGGGGTCTTTGGGCCTTACAGAATATAGCTTTGTCCTCCTTGAGGTGCATCTCAAATGGATGTGTTTCTCAGCATTCTGCCAACACTTTTTAAATTTTATATATTTTTTTGTTCTCTCAGGCTTATGGTGAAGGTTCTGGTACTGACTGTAGACGGCATGTCCAAAAATTAAATCTGCTACAGGGACAAGTTTCAGAGTTGCCACTCAGGTACAGTTGTTTGAGAAGAGTATGATTGTCTTGCCCTGTTTTGATCTTGACTGGGTAATAGAAGTACACAGTGGAGAAGTCCCTTAGACTTCCATTTCTTACAATATGGCAGTCAAACACCCTGAGCAATTTTCACATTGAAAATGCTAAAAATGCAGCTATTTTAAATGCACTGATGCACTGACAAGAAAATAGGTAACTCTCAGAGGTCAAAAATGAAAACGAAGCTGGTCTGATGGTAGTGGGTTATCAGAATTTATTAATATTAGTGTCACTAAAGTTGGTATAACTCCGCTGCTAAATTTAACTGGCCTAAAAAAAAAAAAAAAAAGCCAAAAGCCAGAGAGGAAGCACCTGAGCTCCTGGGGCGATTGAAGCCTAGTGCTCTGGAGCTTCCATTTAGATGGCTGGGAGGGGTGCAGGGGACAGAAGACAAAACCTACAGCCTGGTCAGCATAGGAAGGCCAGTAGGACACCTCCATACAAAACTGAGCCTCCAGAAGACTATACCCTCAGTGTACAAATGAACTAGACCCACTCTGCAACAGGTAGCTTACCTGTATTGACTTTGGCAGTGGCTGAAGAGGGGGAAATATCTCTAAAATTTTGGAAATACAAGGAAGCTGTTGCATGGTTTTTCATCCTTTTACATACTCTGTGTGAAAAGCCTCAAGCTGAACATGTCTTTCAGTTGTCCCAGGAAGCAGAGGTAAATGCAGCTTCTCTCTGCAGCAATATATCTTCAACCCAGGCCTTAAAGAATTCCCACAGAAATAGTTCCAAGTAGCATATACTCAAGAGTTTAAAATCATTTAACATTCAAGGAAATATGTCACCATGAGCAAAAGATAGCAGAACAACAGTCAGAAAAGTCAGACCCATGAAGACTTCAGAATACATAATGCATGTTTAATATATTTAATTTAAAAAGGGGGTGATCCCAGCACTTTGGGAGGCCAAGGTGGGTAGATCACGAGGTCAGGAGTTCAAGACCAGACTGGCCAACATGGTGAAACCCTGTCTCTACTAAAAAATACAAAATTAGCTGGGCATGGTGGCTCATGCCTGTAATCCCAGCTACTTGGGAGGCTGAGGTAGGAGAATTGCTTGAACTGGGACTCGGGAGGCAGAGGTTGCAGTGAGCTGAGATTGCACCACTGCACTCCAGCCTGGGCTACAGAGTGAGACTCCATCTAAGAAAAAAAAGATAGAGAGTGATAAGATGAGGGACTTAAAAAAATAGGTGTATTTGAGAGCTTGTTACGGAGGTTTCTAAGAGGGAGTGCAGCTACTCATATACCCTTGACCGAAGACCAGTCCTCCACTATTGGGGATGGTTGTTTCCTTCGACCGAGCACACAGCATCAGGAGGGACACACATGGAGCTGTGGAGGAGGAATGGGACACTGCCTATGCAGCCAGATCAGTGAATCAACCCTAGTGATTGATGAGGTGACAGATGTCACAGCCAGATCACCGTCACATCCAAAAAGTAGGTGTATTTGAAAAAGAACCAAAAAGAGGCCGGGTGCAGTGTCTCACACCTGTAATCCCAGCACTTTGGGAGGCGAAGGCAGGCGGATCACTTGAGGTCAGGAGTTCAAGACCAGCCTGGCCAACATGGTGAAACCCCATCTCTACTAAAAATACAAAAGTTAGTTGGGCGTGGTGTCACATACCTATAATCCCAGCTATTCAGGAGGCTGAGGCATAAGAATCGCTTGAGTGTGGGAGGTGGAAGTTGCAGGGAGCCAACCTCCACCTCGCAGGGAGCCAACCTCCACCTCCCAGGCTCAAGTGTGGCCTGGGTTGAAGATGTATTGCTCCAGAGAGAAGCTGCAACAGAGTGAGACTCTGTCTTAAAAGAATTGGCTGAACTTAAAAGTATAATCATTAAACTTAAAAGTTCAGGCTGGGCACAGTAGCTCATGCTTAACATCCTAGCACTCTGGGAGATTGAGGCAGGAGGATCACTTGAGGTCAGGAGTTCAATACCAGCCTGGCTGACATGGTGAAACCCCATCTCTACTAAAAATACAAAAACTAGCTGGAAAGCACTTGAACCCAGAAGGCAGAGGTTATAGTGAGCCAAGATCACGCCACTGCACACCACCCTGGGTGACAGAGTGAGACTCTGTCTCAAAAAAAAAAAGAAATTAAAAACTCAGTGGACAGGTTAAACAGATTAAATGCAACTGAAAAGAGAATTCTTGAAATGGAAGATAAATCTAAAGAAATTATTCACAATGCAGCCGGGTGTGTTGTCTCATGCCTATAATCCCAGCACTTTGGGAGGCCAAGGCAGGTGGATCACAAGGTCAGGAGATCAAGATCATCCTGGCCAACATGGTAAAACCCTATCTCTACTAAAAATAAAAAAGATTAGCTGGGCATGGTGGCACGCACCTGTAGTCCCAGCTACTCAGGAGGCTGAGGCAGGTAGATAGCTTGAACCCAAGAGGCAAAGGTTGCAGTGAGCTCAAGATCACACCACTGCACTCCAACCTGGGCAACAGAGCAAGATTCCGTCTCAAAAAAAGAAATTATTCACAATGCAACACAGAAAAATTGAAAAGTAGAAAATATGCGGGAAAGTTGACAGACATGGAGGTTACAGAGAAGAGTTCTAGCAAGAGAAAATTAAGAGCATGAGGCAAAAGCAATAATTGAAGAGATAAGAGCACAGCATTTTCCAGAATCAAGGGCTTAACATTTTTAGATTCGGGAAACAACAGTAAATCTCAAACTGGATTAAACCATTATTTTAGTTGCAAACAGCTTGATTGTGTATGTAGAAAATCCTAATGAATCTACAAAAAAAGCTACTAAAACTAATATTTTAGCAAGATCACAGGGATACAAGGTCAACATACAAAATTGTTATTTCTATACACATGCAGTGGACAATTGGAAAATGATTTTTAAAATCAAATACCTGCTGGATATGTACTTCACACTTGTAATCCCAGCACTTTGGGAGGCAGAGGTGGGTAGATCTCTTGAGCCCAGGAGTTTGGGACCAGCCTGGGCAAGATGGCAAAACCCTCTCTACAAAAAGAAAAATATTTATCCAGGTGTGGTGGTGTGTGCCTGTGGTCCCAGCTACTCAGGCTGAGGTGGGAGGATCACCTGAGCCCAGGGAGGTTGAGGCTTCAACTTATCTTCATTGTCATTGATTCCGTCTTCCAGCGATTTTGCAACCTCCACCTCCCTGGTTCAAACAATTCTCCTGCCTTATCATCCCGAGTAGCTGGGGTTATAGGCATGCACCACCATGTTTGCCAGACTTTTCTCGGTCTCTTGACCTGAGGTGATCCACCCACCTCAGCCTCCCAAAGTGCTAGGATTACAAGCATGAGCCACTGTGCCCAGCCCCTGGTCATTTTTCAAAGGGCGTATGTATGGTCTTCCCCAAAGGTCTCTAGAAGAAACTGTCAGTGCCGGTGAAGAAGAAAACGTGGGCCATCAACAGACTGGGAATGTGAAGCAGCAGGTAAGCGTCAGACCTACCTGCCCCAGGCTGGCTCTGTGTCAGGGAAGGGATGAATGCACAGATGTATCCAGTAGTCATTTGTATAGCAAATGTGTGTTGATGCCATCCAATGACAGTCACTTGGCCTAAAGCTACGGGGAACACAAAAATAAATAAGCCTATACGTTTTGTAAGGATGGAGATAGCCATGTGTACCAATCATTAAAATACTCTGCAAAAGACTCTCCTCTGCTTGGAGAGCTCCTTCGGAATGTAGCTCAAATATCACCTTGTACTGCTTCCACATCACCCTGGGCATACCTCCCTCTGAGAGGGAAATAATGGGGTAAAACACCTGGGTTTCCATCTTTCTTTGTTACAGACTGCAAGCTGGTTTTTGTTTTGTTTTGTTTTGTTTTGCTTTGAAACAAGGTTTTACTCTGTCATCCAGGCTAGAATGCAGTGGCATGATCATGGCTCCCTGCAGCCTTGACTTCCTGGACTCAAGTGATCCTCCTACCCTCAGGCTCCTTCGGAACTGGGACTACAAGTGTGCCCTACGACACCCGGCTATTTTTTTTTTTTCTTTTTTATAGAGGCAGAGTCTCCCTATGTTGCCTAGGCTGGTCTCAAACTCCTGGGCTCAAGCCGTCTTCCTGCTTTGGCTCCCAAAGTGCTGGGATTACATGAATGAGCCATTGCACCTAGCCAGATTCACACTTTGTTATAAGCAGAAGATGCTCTTCTGGTACTTTTGTCTGTGCTTCCAGTTTAGTCCATTCACAGACTGAATTGTATATCATTCTCATCAGAAATACTTTTTTGCATCCTAGTTTTCAGTTATATTATTCTTCTTTGTTGCTGTATGGTTTTCAGTGATTTTCATTTATTATTTATTATTTTTTGAGACAGGGTCTCCCTCTGTCACCCAGGCTGGAGTGCAGAGGCATGATCACTGCTCACTGGAGCCCCGATGTCTCAAAAAAACAAAAGTATTTACGGAATGTAGTAGATGTACTAGTATCGATTGCTTTATTATGTGGCATTTAGGTTGTTTCCACACTTCTGCCTGCCTGCTTTCTTCCTTCCCCCTCCCTCTCCCTCCTCTTTCCTCTTTCCTTCTTTCATGTGAGGCAGAGTCTCACTCTGTCCCCCAAGTTGGAATGCAGTGACATGATCTTGGCTCACTGCAATCTCTGTTTCCCGGATTCAAGCAATTCTCCTGCCTCAGCCTCCCAAGTAGCTGCGATTACAGATGCCCGCCACCACGCCTAACTAATTTTTGTATTTTTAGTAGAGATGGGGTTTCACCATGTTGCCCAGGCTGGTCTCGAATCCTGACCTCAGGTGATCCATCTGCCTTAGCCTCCCAAAGAGCTAGGATTACAGTTGTGAGCCACTGTGCCCAGCCATGTTTCCACACTTCTGCTTTTATAAATAACATTTGCTATTATTCATAAGACTGGGACTAGCATTGCTGCCTTCTCTTTTTGTGTGGAATCACTGGGCCAAGGAGCATAGACATTCATGAGATTCTTGGTGGGCTGTGTCCTGCCACCTACCCAAGGCCTGTACCAGCAAGCGCTATCTTGCCAGCATCACAGGGTATTGGTGTCCATCACCTTCCAGCCAATGCCTTTCCTAGAGTGGAGGTATGCATGATTCCTGAGATCCTCAGGCCTGAGTTGGACTAGGGGTTTTCAATAAAACTGCCTACTTTCTAGTACTGAGAATCAGCTTTTTTCTCATCTGATAGGAAAAATCACAGCCCTCAGAGAGTCGCTGGCTGAAGTATCTAGAAAATGACTCCCAAGAACTGGAGCTGGAAGGAGGAGGAGTGTGCTTCAGCAAACAGCCTTCATCCAAAATTGAGGAGCCAGTTCCCTACTTCAGTCAAGACCTGCCTAGAAAAAGGTACCAAGTGCATGTCCGGTCCAGACCTGGCCCAGAGCCTATGCTGCCCTGGCAGCGGGGTACCAGTGAGCCACTGTGAACATCAGCCAAGCTGGAGAAACCTAGATGGCAAGTGCCAGCACATAGGAAAATGGGTAGCTGCTGCCACTGCCGGCCCCTCAGCCCACCTGGGCATTGGGCATTGCTGGTGCAGAGGCAAGAGCTAGGCAGGATACCAGCAGGCATACCCTTTATGATGCCGACTTTATTCTGAACATCTCAGACTGTACTGACCTCAGGGAAGTGGCCAGAGTAGCTGACGGGCCTGAGAGCTTTTAGCACAGAGGAGCAGAGACCTCAGACTTAAGGAAGGTCTCTTCTGCTTCGGGCATTTCAGTGAGTTTTTTGGAGACTGCCTTAGGCTAAGGTTCTAGGGTGGCTTTTAGAGGGCAAGTGTTTTTAGGAGGTAGATTCTGCTTTCAAATGAGAACTTTCAGCCAGGCACAGTGGCTCACACCTGTAATCCTAGCACTTTGGGAGGCCAAGGCAGGAGGATCATTTGGGCTCATGAGTTTAGACAAGTCTGGGCAACATAGGGAGACCCTACCTGTACAACAAATTTTTAAAACAAATTCATGGGGCATAGTGGTGCATGCCTGTGGTCCCAGCTACTTGGGAGGCAGAGGTAACAGGATCATCTGAGCCCAGGAGGTCAAGGCTGCAGTGAGCCATGATTGTGCCATTGTACTCCAGTCTGGGTGCCAGTGAGACCCTGACTAAAATAAAAACAAACAAAACTTTCTAGCAACTAGGAGCTAGGAAGCACGGGAGTAGGGCCTGGGTGGTGGCTGGGCAGGCTGAGCAGCTGCCTGGGAAGCTGTAGGGACAAGCAGGCTGCCACCCAGGCTTGTGGGCCATGTGATCGTGGAGTCAGGCTTGGGGTGCCACTGGAGGGTAGCACAGGAGTACTGACAGTGCTGTCCTGCCAGGAAGTGGAGCCAGAGCACCATCCAGCCTCCATGCAGCCTTGGCATCCAGGACTCTGTTGGCTCTGAGGTCACCTGGGAACCCCAGAAGGTCAGTGACAGAGAAAAGTTTCTTTCTGGTCCCATTGACCACTGAGTATGTGTGGGATAATTTTGTCTTTTGTCACAGTTGACTAAGTATATGATTCTTACCCGCAGAAAGCCATCTTCCCACCTGGGTTTCTTGTCTTTTCTGTCTGAAGCCAACTCCTTCATCTTTGTCTATACCCACTTTGCCCTCTCATGCCTCTTGTCTCCCATGAGGGTAACTCAAGACCAAAGGACATTGTGACACCTTGGAGCAACTAAGGTTGGCCAGCAGGGGTTTTCTAGGTCAGGGCCATTGTCTCATTCTGCATAGAGCACAGGGACCTTTGTCCAGGCAGGAGTAGTCAGTGGGCCCGCCCTGAATCCTGGGAGATGCTTCCTTCCACACTTGCATTTCCCCAGGTGTGGACTCTCATATGTGAGGCACTCTTCACTTAGGGTGTTGTCTTGTTCTTTTTTGTTTTCTGAGACAGGGTCTCACTCTATCTACCCAGGCTAGAGTGTAGTGGCACAATCATAGCCCACTGAAGCCTCAACCTCCCAGGCTCAAGTGATCCTACTGCCTCAGTCCCCCAAGTAGCTGGGACTTCAGATGTGCACCACCACACTGGCTTTTTTAAAAAAATGTTTCATAGAGGCCAGGCACAGTGGCTCACGCCTATAATCCTTGCACTTTGGGAGACCCAAAGCAGGTGGATCACTTGAGGTCAGGAGTTTGAAACCAGCCTAGCCAACATGGTGAAACCCCATCTCTACTAAAAATAATTAGCTGGGCATGGTGGTGTGTACTTGTAATCCCAGCTACTCGAGAGGCTGAGGCAGGAAAATCACTTGAACCTAGGAGGCAGAGGTTACAGTGAGTTGAGATCACTCCAGGCTGGGTGACAGAAAAAAAAAATTGTAGAGTCATGGTCTCACTATGTTGTCCAGGCTTGTCTCAAACTCCTGGGCTCAAGTAGTCTTCCCACTTCCCAAAGTGCTGGGATTACAGGTGTGAGCCACTGCACCTGGCCCAGTTGTCTTGTTCTTTAAGCTTCCAATCCAGCAGGCCCCACCGCATATCCAGCGCTAGAGTGCAGGGTTTGCTTTGCCTGTCACAGGAGCCAGGGCACAAATAAGGGCACTGCAGTTGGGAGTCCACTGGGCTTCAGTCACTGCCCCCACCCCCATGTCACCAAGGTCAGACATGGGTGACCTCACACCACGCACAGAGCACTGGCTCATGGCAAGAGGCAGAGTTCAAACTTTATTGCTGCCAACTAGTTTTGTGACCATGGGTTAAGTTTGTGGCCTTGAATCTCCAAATCCCAGAAGAATGATCAGAGTCCACTACATGTCAGTCCCTAGGCTGCACGTTTTAATGGTATCATTGTGTTTTATGCTCCATCAAGCCTGTTGTTTTGTTTTAAAGGTGAGGAACTGAGACTTGCAGTTTTTGTGCGGTCACAGCAAGTTCAGTAGCAAAGCCAACATCAAGTGTCAATCAGGGCCACAGAGCCTCTTCCATACTGCCTCGGTGGCAGTGCAGCAGGGACCTACTCTTATCATTGCTTTCACATCCCTTTGTAAGCAATACAACCCATCTTTTTTTTGAGACGGAGTCTTGTTCTGTTGCCCAAGCTGGAGTCCAATGGCACAATCTTGGCTCACTGCAACTTCTGCATCCCGAGTTCAAGTGATTCTCCTGCATCACCCTCCCAAGTAGCTGATATTACAGGTGCATGCCACCATGTCCAGCTAATTTTTGTATTTTTAGTAGAGATAGGGTTTCACCATGCTAGGTTGGTCTCGAACTCCTGGCCTCAAGTGATGTGCCTGCCTTGGCCTCCCAAAGTGCTGGGATTCAGGCATGAGTCACTGCTCCCAGCCTACAACCTGACTTTTTTTTTTTTTTTGAGACAGAGTCTTGCTCTGTCACCCAGGCTGGAGTGTAATGGTATGATCTCAGCTCACTGCAACCTCAGCCTCCTAGGTTCAAATGATACTGCCTCAGCCTCCCAAGTAGCCGAGATTACAGGCACATGCCATCACGCCTGGCTAATTTTTATATTCTTATTTGAGATAGGGTTTTGCCATGTTGGCCAGGTTGGTCTCAAACTCCTGGTCTCAAGTGATCCACCTGCCTCGACCTCCCAAAGTGTTGGGATTACAGGCATGAGCCACCATACCCAGCCTACACCCCAACTTTCAGTACATCTTTGGTTCCTGGGGTGAGCGAAGCCAGGCCCCAGCACTTGGTGCTGCCACCACTGCAGCTGCAGAACCTGGCAGGCTCTGAAGAGCCACTCCCAGGTGGGAAGTGGTAGGATGGAGCCAGCCCACCCCTTTCCGGACGTCTCTACACCCTCCCTGCTCAAACCTCCTTTTTAAGTACTGTTGACTTGATTCTAAGATTGCCAGGAAATAGATCACCTGATGACATGAAAATGTCATTTTTGGAAAGCCTGGTCATGCACTTTAGCAGAAGATTTGGGGTGAGGTAGAAGGGATTTATTTTGTCTTGCTAACCCTCAGAATCAAAGCCTGTCCCCAGCCCGACAGCTTCCAGCACAAAGTGTCAGAACCATAGGCCCAGCCAGGGTCCAGGCATGGCAGGCGATTTTGCTGGGCCCTGGCATTGTTATTACAAATGGAGGGCATGGCCATCTTCTCTTTCAGGGACAGGCTGGCCTGACATGGAAGGTGAAACAAGGCAGCAGCCCTTGCCTCTGGGAGAACAATGCAGAGTGCAGCATCAGGGAGCTGAGGAGTCCTGGGCAGGTTACAGCTACATCCTCTAAATGGGCACAATTTGTCCTGTCACCTAGAAACAGTTCACATGTGGACAGAGAGCAGCCAAGGCCTCTGCAGAGAAACCCCAGGCCAGCTGGGCCAGCACAGGCTAAGCAAGGGACCCCCAGGGCACAGACTTCAAAGGAAGGCCTCAGCAGGCCCACAGCTGCTGCCCAGCTTCCTCAAGCCACACACACCCTCACATCTGGGCCTGAGAGGCCCTGCAGGAAGACCTCATGGGATGCAAGGACTTGTCAGGCAGAGGGTGGGCCCTTGGTCCAAGAGGCACAGAATCCCCAATCCACGAGACTATGTGACCTCTTTACAACTGGGGAAGACTTTGATGATGATCTGTGATCTAAGACTGGCAGGTTATTAATCGAGATACACTTGTTAGGAGGGATAGGGTTCCCCAAAGGCACTTTTAAACATACTATGTAAGAACCACCAACAATAAAATTACTGTCAAACAGATCATTTCTCTCTATGCAAATGTCATTGGTTAAAGTGCTGATACCATTTAATTAGATTGTTAACAAATATAACAGGATAGCTACAAAGAGATCTTACTGGTGGTTTGGAAATGAGGGAACTACAGTGGTGAAGAGACCAGGAGGCAGCTCTCAGTGACTGCAGATGCCCTTCATGAGCTTTCTCAGTCCCTGCAGGAAGCCCACAGCACTGGCTGCCACTGCCTGCGCCAAGACAGCCCCCTCCCTTGCTTACCCCCAGACAACACCTAGGCTTACTTTATCTAGAATCAGAGAGTACCAGGTCTCTAACAGAAAAATCAACTAAATGTCAGGGACCTATGAGTCATGGAAAAAAAAAAAAAAAAAAGAGTGGAAGGCCATTAGTCAAGCTATGTGCTGGGCTGCTAATGCAGCCCCTGCATGGGGGCGGTCAGGAGCACACTGCAGTGAGCCTCAGGTCTCGCAGGCCCAGCACCGCTGCAAGGAGCCAGGGAACCCGGAGGCCGGTCTTGTTTCTCAGACATCAGTGCACACACATGAGGACCCTACCCTCATATCACTTGTTTTGCTGCTTCCTAAATGGCTTCTTGCACCTCAATCCCTGATCCTGGAAGAAGGCAGAGAAACTGGCCCATACAGAGACCTGCAGTTCTACAGTAGCTTAACATAACTATGACACACAAGGTGGGGGACAACAGAAGAGGTGGGCAAAAGCAGTCACAACGGTGGAGGATGCTTCGAATACTGGATGGTGTCCAGAGCTGCCCCGATGTCATAATTCTTGGTCTGCAGGAGCCTGGTGAGCCAGCCACCTTCGTCAGAGAAGCCCATGGACAGCATCTGGGAGAGGGACTCAATCAGCCGTGGGTCTGCCTCTGCCAAAACAGTAAGGAAGCCATGAGGAATGGCTCTGAGCCCCCTGAGTGACCCAAAACACACAGCCTCCTGCCTTGGCCAACTGGGACCAGGTCTGCCAGTGGACAAGCCTGCCCAGAGCTCTGGCCCAGGCCACAGTGGACCTGCTTTCTCTGTAAAGGGCCAGTCTTTTTCACACTGCTCAACTCTGCCACTGTGACACAAGGCAGCCAGGTGGTATGTAAACAAAACTATCAATGGACACTGAAATATGCATTTCATCTAACTGTCACATTATTTGATTTAAAAATATAAGAAATACTCTTGGCGCATCAGCCATAGCTCACCATCCCTTCCCCTAAGGTGGAGAAGACACACACCAGCAGCCCATGGCAGGCGGTGCACATAGCCCTTGGTTTACCCACGGCTGCCATGTGACAATGAGTCTCAGCTGCGTGTCAGCTGTCCCCCCACCCTACCCTCACTGCCTTCTACACCACCCACTTCAGTGGTGGCTTCTGCCTGGCTATCGGGATCTCGGCTATGACCCCCACTCTCAGGCCAGCCCTCCCTGAGGAGACACTGAAGAGTCTGAGCCCAAGGTGAGTAGTGGGGACACACCCAGTGCTGCCCCAACTCTGTGTCACACCTGCCTTAATTCCAGGTCTGCATGTTAAGTTTTAGAAACTTCTACAGTTAATATTCCTTGCTCTGGAGTTTGCTTCAAGAAAAAAATTTTTAGAACTACATTAGCAGAATTTACTCGCTGTTGCTCAGTGTAGACCTAAGAGGACTCCTAACCTCCCTAGCCTACAGACAAGCCCCAAAGTGGAGAACATCCCATCCTTATGTTTGTGTCGCTGAAATCAGAAGGGGACAGGATGCTCTGAAGGGAAAGGTAGGAATGAATACAAAGCCTCTTGGTTCACTTGCCTGGTGGCAGATGCGGGTATAAGGCAGCTTCCTTCAGCCCTGTGGGTCCCTCCTGGGAGGGATCCAAAGAGCTTGGCCCTTCAGATTCTGGCATCTGTAGGGACTGAAGTTCACCTGTAGATGGGTCCACTTCTTTTGAAGACAAATGGGTCCAGTCATCATCTCCTCCTGAACAGTTATCAGATTCCATCTGTTCCTGGAACAAAACGCACCATGAGCACACAGGAGACATTCCCTACAGGCCAAGCCTGACATGACACCAACTCCTGGCATGTGTTTAAAGCTGCAGGGGGCTACAGGGAATAGTGAGTCACTCTCAAAGACCAAGTAACTACAAAATTCTAGCAGGTTCCCAAAGGACTTTAATGCCACAGACATCACTACAGGAACAGCAGCAGCTCCCTTGGATTTTATAAGTGGGGCTGCATAGGTGCTGAGGATGAGGCAGAGGTGCAGGCCACAAATCACTAGGCTGGCCACAGTCCCAGGTGGCGGGAGGGGCACAAGCTTGCCTCAGGGTGCCCCTCGGACTCCAAGGCAATCTTTCTCATCTGCTCCGCCAGAGACTGCGTGGCGCCCTCAACGTTCCCACGGGGCTTGCTGGGCTCAGAGCAGCAGCTGCTTGACTGCAAGCTGCTCTTCTCTGTGCTGAAACACTCTGGAGAAACAGGGGTCAGGCGGCTTCTTTTCCCTCCATGCTCCACATCAATATCAACTTCAATGCCTAGAGGCCAAGGAGGAAAGAAAAAACTGTGAAGTTCCCCGAAGGATGCACCTGCAGGCAGGAGCTTGGCATGTGGGGACTGCAGACTCACAAAGATCTCACATTCAGTCCCCACAACAGGTAAAGGTCTGGATGGTGGCACTCAGCATGTGGATACAGGTGCTAGGTTCTCCTATTGAGCTTGACCCTAGAGTCACATAGCCAGTATGGGACCAGCCAAGATACAAACCCTTGAGTCAGAGGCTCTTCCCAGTATCCCAGCTCCAAATCTCTTGTGGCTTCTGGAAACTCTGTGTGCCTATGATACTGGACCTTTCTCTTTCTCCAATCCACTAAAACATGAACCTCAGCTAACATCTAAGGTCAGCTTCAGAGCTAGGAAGTCCAAAGAGACCTTATTTTTCCTAACCATGCAGGACATGGGCTACACTGCAGGTAGGGCCAGGCCCTAAGTACAGGGGGAGCCAATGCTACATGTGGCAGGCACCTCCAGCCAGTGATGGAAGGCTGTGTGTCTCATGATACTTGCACACAGAGGCTTTGTGTGATGACACGTACACGCACCTAAACGCTAGGGCTCTGCTCAGAGAGGTGGACAGGCCATGCAGTCAAGGCGTAGGGCCCAAGGTTGGCAGCACAGGGAGCCTGCACACCTCCAGGCTCACATAACTCACCAGGGACAGAGGGAGGAATCACAATATTTTTAAAATTACATGTGTCAAAAGTCTCCATACCCACAGCTTAGAGTCACCAGTTGCCAGAGGCTGTGATGCATATTCCCTGCTCCCATTCCACTCCCCAAAGCCTCCCTGGGCTCTTTCAGCTCATGCTACTCTTGCCTACTGATAGAGTTCACATCTATGCACTTCTTACTCTAGACCAGTATCTGCCTCCCCTTCCACTACCCTTTCTAAGACTCAATTTTTTGTTAAAACAACGTTCAGTGTTTCAGTTAGTACCTCTGTCTTAATGTTATTTGCTGGGTCAATTAGCAGACTATTTCCTTGTATAGCTTTTTGTTTTCTTATCACTAATGATGCCTTCTCTCTTTTTTTTTAGACAGTCTCACTCTGTTGCCCAGGCTGGAGTGCAATGGCACGAACTCAACCACTGCAGCCTCTGCCTCCTGGATTTAAGCAATTCTCCTGCCTCGGCCTCCTGAGTACCTGGGACTACAGGCATGTGCCACCACATGCGGCTAATTTTTCGTATTTTTAGTAGGGATGGGGTTTCACCATGTTAGCCAGGATGGTCTTGATTTCCTGATCTTGTGATCCGCCTGCCTTGGCCTCCCAAAGTGCTGGGATTACAGCATGAGCCACCACACCTGGCCTTCTTTGAGATGAAGTCTCGCTCTGTTGCCTGGGCTGAAATGCAGTGGCACAATCTCGGCTCAATGCAACCTCCACCTACCAGGTTCAAGCAATTCTCCTGCCTCAGCGTCCTATGTAGCTGAGATTACAGGTGCCCGCCACGACACCCAGCTAAGTTTTATATTTTTAGCAGAGATGGGGTTTCACCATGTTGGCCAGGCTGGTGTTGAACTCCTGACCTCAGGTAATCTGCCCATCTTGGCCTCCCAAAGTACTTGGACTACAGGCATGAGCCATTGCGCCCAGCCTGCCTTCTCTTTTCATTTGCTAACTCTCCCCATGTTCTCCCACAGCATCTCCATAGTTTTCTACAGGGGTGAAGTGGATCAGAGGCCCCACTGGTTCTGGTGTTTTCCTTAGAGAATGCCCCTTGGTGTGCAGCCTCCTATTCCAGCCAGGACTGGCAGCTCTCTGGGCAGAGGCTCTGTTGTGATGCTGTGACCACCTTTACTTTCACCCTGTGTCCTATTAGGTCCTTCGTTTCCTAATACCTCTGTTCTTCATTCTGGGTTTCTCTCTTCATGTGGTTCAAACCAAGGTTAAAATAATTAAGACTGTGTGTCAGAAAGTTACTGTTCTTACCTTCTATTTGATCATTTTAGCTGGGTATAGAATTCTAGGTCAGACACAGTGGCTCATGCATGTAATCTTTTTTTTTCCCATGCATGTAATCTTTACACTTTGGGAGAACAACATGAGAGATCTCTTGAGCCCAGATGTCCAAAATCAGCCTGGGCAGAATGGCAAGACCCAATCTCTAAAAAATGTTTTATTTTTGGCCGGGTGCGGTGGCTCAAGCCTGTAATCCCAGCACTTTGGGAGGCCGAGGCGGGTGGAGCATGAGGTCAAGAGATCGAGACCATCCTGGTCAACATGGTGAAACCCCGTCTCTACTAAAAATACAAAAAATTAGCTGGGCATGGTGGCGCATGCCTGTAGTCCCAGCTACTCAGGAGGCTGAGGCAGGAGAACTGCCTGAACCCAGGAGGCGGCGGAAGTTGTGGTGAGCCGAGATCGTGCCATTTCACTCCAGCCTGGGTAACGAGCGAAACTCTGTCTCAAAAAAAAAAAAAGTTTTATTTTTTTATTTTTATTTTTGTTCTGGAGACAGAGTCTCAACTCTGTTGCACAGGCTGGAGTACAGTGGAACAATCTGGGCTCACTGCAACCTCCGTCTCCCAGATTCAAGTGATTATCCTGCCTTAGCCTCCAGAGTAGCTGGGATAAAGGCATGCATCACCACACCCAGCTCATTTTTGTAGTTTTAGTAGAGACAGGGTTTCACCATGTTGGCCAGGTTGGTCTTGAACTCCTTACCTCAGATGGTCCACACACCTCAGCCTCTGAAAGTACTGAGATTACAAGCATGAGCCTGGCTTACAAAAAATTTTTTAAATAGGTGGGCACAGAGCCGGGCATGGTGGCTCATGCCTGTAGTTACAGCACTTTGGGAGACCGAGGCAGGTGGATCACAAGGTCAGAAGTTCAAGACCAGCCTGGCCAAGATGGTGAAACCCTGTCTCTACTAAAAATACAAAAATTAGCCAGGTATGGTGGCAGGCACCTGTAATCCCAGCTACTTGGGAGGCTAAGGCAGAGAACTGCTTGAACCTGGGAGGCGGAGAGTGCAGTGCACCAAGATTATGTCAGTGCACTCCAGCCTGGGTGACAGAGTGAGACTCTGTCTCCAAAAAAAAGCTGGGCACAGTGGCACATGCCTGTAGTCCCAGCCACTTGGGAGGCTTAAGCAGAAGGATCACTTGAGCCAAAGAGATCGAGATAATTGTACCACTGCACTCCAGCCCAGGTGATAGTGAGCCCTGATTTTTTTGTTTTTCAAAAACAAAAAAATTCTAGGCTGAAAAGCCTTTTAACTGATTTTTGAAGTTATCACTTGTTCCATTGTCTCCTAGCGTGTTATGTTTGTTTGCTCTTTGTACTCCCAAGTGTTTATGGTAACCTAGAGTTTTAGGAGCCCCTCTTTATCCTCAGGGTTCTGACACTTGACAATGATAAGCATTTTTTTTTTTTTTTTTTGAGACAAGGCCTGGTTCTGTTGCCCAGGATGGAGTGCAGTGGCACAATCTAGGCTTGTTGCACCCTCCACCTCCCAGGCTCAAGCTATCCCCAACCTCAGCCTCCCAGGTAGCTGGGGCAATAAGTACACAACTCCATGCCTGATCAATTTTTGTAGTGTTTGTAGACAAGGGAAGAGCTGGGGTGGTGTCTCACTATGCTGCCAAGGCTGGTCTCAAACCTGTGAGCTCAAATGATCTGCCTGCCTTGATCTCCGAAAGTGTTGGGATTACAGGTGTGAGCCACCGTGCCTGGCACCAAGAAACTATATCTTGCATTCTATGTTCATTTCCTCTCAGTTTTCTGTTCTTTCTAGAATTGCTAGTCATCCTATATTGGTCTTCCAGACTTGTCCCTACACTAGTTTTCTTATCTTTTCTTTCCTCCTATCTCTGTTTCGCTTTGGGAATATCTCCTTGAAACAGTTTAAGAATCTAAGTCTTCTTTTGAAGTTTTTTTTCTTTTTTATTTTTTAATTTCAAGAACTTTATTCTGTTCCCTTTGTAATCCTTTTTATAGTAACCTGTTCCTATTTTCATGCAGACAGTACTCTTTTGTATCTCACTAAGGGCACTAACATTCTCTTTAAGACCTTTTCTCCCATGACCCAAGGCTGCCTGTTCCCACTGAAGCACTAAGGAAAGGTCGACAGGAAGCCTTTGGTGGGGCCAGGGCCATCATTAACTTCCCCTCTGCAGGGTGACTGGGGGCCTGGCAGGCAGGAGCTGTAGGACTCTTCTCTGGGGGCATTCAGCCTCCCTCCACAGGGACTCCCCATCTGCTGCCTGGCCGGGGAAGAGACTGCTGGGACCATTGCTCATTCAGGATTCCCAGTTTCAGGCTGTTGCCTCACCCTGCCCTGTGTCTCTGGTATCCCATGGCTGAAGCTTCCCTGGGTCAGATACTCCTGGGATTCAACATGAGATCTCCTTCAAGTGTTGGCAAGAGCCGTCATCTGGCCAAGTGGGCCCTGAAGTCTAACTGACACTTCCTAGAGGTTTTCAACCCTCCCCCTTGTTCCTTCCTTTTTCAGCCAGAATTGAGCCCTGAAGTCTCTGACTGACTCCCACGTCTTGCCTTTCGTGGTACCTGAACACATTGTCTTGCTTCTCACCAGGGTGCCCTATGCAGGCACAGAGGTTTCTGAAGCTTCCCTCGACAGGCTGCCATTCTCCCTCCATTTCCGTCTTACAAAATCTGATGACATCTTTTGTCTTTTCCTCAATTACTTTCCTTGTATATGGTGTTTTCTTTGTTTAAGCCCTTTCCTGTTATTTCAGTAGAGTTTAAATAAAAGCAAGGCTTAACTGCAAGTACCTCCATCTGTAATATTTCAATTGTTTTTCTCCTTTATTCTTCCCAACTGTGATTATGAAAAGGTTGAAGCAAACAGAAGAGTTGAAAGAATAGTATAATCAACACCCATATGCTTTTTTAATGGGTATGTAATGAGACTCATCTGTAAACAGATCAGAGAAATTACAGAATTAGGATTTCTCGAACCTGCTGATGAAAGCCTGAGATGTCAGGGCTTGTAACAGGACTGGACAGGCTGCTCTGCCTATGGAGTAGCCATTTTTATATTACTTTACTTTCTTAAGAAACTTGCTTTTCACTTAAAAAAAAAAAAGCAAAACTGGACGATGCTCCGTGCCCTGCTGCCCCACAAAGCCTCTGCATGTGGGTGTGTGTTTATCAAAGATATCATGTCCAGGATGGACTCTGTGGCTTCATGTCCTGGATGTCGGGGCCTGCAACCTACCAGCCAGGAGGAGCCTGGGTCTCAGTGGTGGCTCTGAAAGGCCTTGGCTCTTCACATGAAAGCCGCCGCCCACCCCACACACACTGCTACCGGGAGGCTGCTGTTGACTCACTCCCCTTTGGGCCCTGCTCTGGAAACAGTTCCTTCTAGGCAGTTAACCTGTGAGTCATCCTGCTTATACTTCCTCATAAAGAAAGGAAAGAAAATAGCCCTAACTTCCACAACAGAGTAAGCCACTCCTTGACTGGCTCTCCTCAGCTGAAACCACTCAGTCTATTTTACTAAAATGTTCCTTGTTTGTAGAGCTCCAGGCTTCTCCTCAGTTAGGAAAAAGCAATTCTATCCACTTTAAACCTTTAGCCTTTAGTGCTCAAAGACCTCTGAGCACTTGCAAAATTATTCCTGTCTGTGCCAAATGGGGCATCCAGTTCAGTTCTGAGATGCTGCACCAGCACAGGTGGATCTTGGGACAGTGTGACCCCAAGCACCTAGGCAGCCTCCCAGAAAGATCCCCAGGCCCCACCAACACCCATTTACCAGGATCAAAAAAGGTTAAGGCCTGGGGATCTGCACTGTCTTAAAGTCTCTACCTGAACCTAGACTTGGTTTTGTGAACAAAGGATATCTCCTTTGTTCTTTGAAAGACTCTTGTTCATACCTCCAAATTCACTGCAGTCTCTCAGACCTTTACTATGTCCAGAGTAAGCAGCAGGGTTTAGGCATAGTATATCTCAATCATAATCTCAGTGCTCCACTGTTTTCCCCTCCCTGGAAAGCATTAATAGCGATTCTTGGCAGGACACGATGGCTCACACCTGTAATCCAAGCATTTTGGGAGGCTGAGGCGGGTGATCACCTGAGGTCAGGAGTTTGAGACCAGCCTGGCCAACATGTAGTGAAACCCCCATCTCTACTAAAAATACAAAAATTAGCTGGGCATGGTGGCAGGCACCTGTAATCTCTCTACTCAGGAGGCTCAGGCAGGAGAATCGCTTGAACCCAGCCATGACTTCACTATTGCACTCTCCAGCCTGGGCAACCAAAGTGAAACTCAATCGCAAAAAAAAAAAAAAGTAGCAATTTTTCTTTCCTATTCTCTGACTTCGCCTCTAGACTCCAGTAAAGAAGCCCCATGTATTTGGGCTGTTTAGTTCAGCAACAATGCCAATATGTCACTGCTGCTTCAAAGCAGAATACGTAAGGCCAGGCACGGGGGCTCATGCACTTTGAGAGGCCAAGGCAAGCAGACTGCCTGAGGTCAGGAGTTTGAGACCAGCCTAGCCAACGTGGTGAAACCCCATCTCTACTAAAAAAAATACAAAAATTAGCTGGGTGTGGTGGCTGGCACCTATAATGCCAGTTACCCAGGAGGCTGAGGCAGGAGAATTGCTTGAACCCAGGAGGTAGATGTTGCAGTGAGCAGAGATTGCACCACTGCACTCCAGCCTGGGTGACAGAGACTTTGTCTCAAAAAAGAAAAAATCAGAATGAGCAGAGTTGGAAATGGCAGTCATGCCCTGTAGCCACAGGAGGTGGCAGACAGGATTCAGACACCCCTCCTAGCAGCATTCTTTCAGACACTGAACACCTTTGGACAGGCTAGATGGACAGAGACGGCCACTACAGTTGCAAAGATAAGCTCGCTTTTCTAGAGAGAGATGCAGGTGTCCCAGCAATCCATCTGCCATCACAGATCCACCATCATCTTGAACTAAAAGTTGGCTTCATTTGCTGATTCTTACTTCTTACTGCTGCATGCTCTGCCCCAGACCCTTAGACACAACAGGTACTTTCTAAAGCCCACCAGGGAGGGTTCTCAGAACCTTAGGTTCATGCCTGGGGTCAGATGGCACCACTCTGGAGGTACACGTTGGGGTTCACCCACACCAGCAGACCCACTGTGCAACCTGAGGCACCGGAATTGGGTGTCACCCAGAGCACCTGCCTCCACCTTCTCCCGCCTCTGATGCAGGCCCAGCATTCAAAAGCACCCAGGAAAGTTTGGGGGTTGCAAACTAAAAGAAGGAAAGGATAAATAGCATCTTAGCTAACTATTACCCAAATCCTCAAAAGTCCAAATCCCAAGGTCCAGCTTAGGGGAAAATGCAGACTGTTTTTCACCCAAAGGAGAGCAGTCAGAGGTGACAGGCAGACCCTGCAACCAGAGCCTGGTCACCCTCCCTTACTGGGATTTTCCCAACCAAATGCCGGCTGATTCTACTTCACTCCGTGTAGAAAGCTTGAGAATTCTGTCAGGGAATTCAACCTTGAGCACCTGTGTTAACATGAGGCCTCACCAGTGTCAAGGATATGTCAATTACCCATTCCTCTGCAGCATTCCGGGTGAACCTTACATAAAGTGCAGGCTGAGTTAGGAAAGCACTGGGCAAGAAGGTATACTCACCCAGAGGGCTGAGGGCAGCTGCCACGCTCTCCCCTACGTTCTTCAGGAAATTCACACTGGGATCCTCCGATGGACCAGAAGCTTTGATTTTCACAAAGATAAAATAAAGACATCTTTACTGCCTTGGATACTTGTTACAGTCTTGTCACCTTCTTGCCAAGGTTCCTGTGTTCCCAGGTAACTTTCATCCCAGACATCTTGTCCAGCAGTCCATTCAGCACCCTCTCTCCTCCTTCCCACTCTTTGGCCCCTGCCCCTGCACCATGATCCTCTCCACCCTCCTGTGCTGCTCCCCCTCCTCTGTGACCCTGATGCTCAGTAACCCCACAGAGACTTACGCTCAGAACACTGTGGATAAATATTGACCACCTCCTTGAGTAAATGTGTTATTTACTCAAAGTCAAGCAAACATCCTTATCTTTGTCCCAAAGGGTGAGGTGATTCACAGGACACAGTAAGATTAATAAAATCAGAATCCAAAAATCTATACTGCAAAGCTAAGGGTAAGTCTTAACTTACAACTATGTTTAAAAGGACTTTAGCAACTTTGGCTCTGATCTTCCTGACAACTACCACAAAAGAGAACAAAGTACAGCAGAGACCCCGGCGCAGGAAAGGCCTCCCTGCCTATACCTCGGGCACCTCAAGAGGGCAGCCTCCCGAGATGGGAAGGGCTCTGCAGGTGAATTTGTGGCCTCAGGCACTTGGGCACTTCAGTTTCCCCATTTGGGCAACACAGAGAATACTCCCCACTTTGCAGGGTTCTTGTGTGATTGTAGGACACAGATGCACAGAGGAATTCAGGGGAAGGAAGGCGGGGAGGTGCCCTGAATTGCACACAGGCTGCCTGACTGACTACAGTCATCGTTCAGAAGCCAGTTCCAAAACAAGCCCCACCTGATTCTGCTGTGGGACCAGGGCGGGCATCCCCTGCACGAGGAGGACGTGGGCTCCAGTTTCCTGGTGGGCCCATCTCCCAGCCTGGCCAACCGAAGTGCCCGTGTTTCAGCTTCCTGAGCCAGCGGCTATGCGAGAAGCCCTGAGGGAAGAATTAGCAGAGGGGCAGGCAGTGAGCAGGTCAGGGTTCCTGCCATCCTGCACCCACCCCAGGCCCACACGGAGGACCTGCTCACCTCAGACAGGTGTCCGAAGGGGCTAGGGAACACGAGCTTGGAGTGCCCTCGGTGCAAGCCCTTTCCCTCGCAGACGCTACACAAGTCGTAGTCTGGGCAGACGCTGCACTTGTAGCGGGTTCCTACCACGGGACCATTGCAGCCATCACAGATGACATTGGGGTGCACCATGTTGCGGGGCGCCTCCTGAGCACATGGTGGGCGGTGGTCCCGCCGGCACTCTTTTTTCTCTACATGGAGGGTAGAAAGAGCCACTGGAGTGGGGCCCCCTAAAGTCTTCCCATCCATCCTCACCACCAGCAAGGCCCCTGGCCCTGCATTCCAGCATGGAGTCCACACAAAATTCAGCTCCTTAGGTGAGGACAGCAGAGCAACCAAGAACCTGCTAGGAGGTTCCCAGTCCCTGTGTCTGTTACCTGGGCAATGTGGCCCAGGCAGCAGAGCAGCAGCAAGGGACCCTGTCTGCACACCTTTGGCCTTGCTCTTCACCCACGCACCATAGCACCAGACCCCATCCCTAGGGGGACTCCTCTTTGGACTCCTCTTTCTCAGGTCAGACACAACATTTATTATGTCTCTCTTTTTTTTGACACAGAGTCTCACTTTGTCACCCAAGCTGGAGTGCAATGGTGCGATCTTGGCTCGCTGCAACCTCTGCCCCCAAGGTTTAAGTGATTCTCTTGTCTCTGTATCCTGAGTAGCTGGGATTACAGGTGTGCACCACCATGCCCAGCTAATTTTTCTATTTTTAGTAGAGACAAGGTTTCACCATGTTGGCCAGGCTGGTCTTAAACTCCTGACCTCAGGAGATCTGCCTGCCTCGGCCTCCTAAAGTGTTGGAATTACAGGCATGAGCAACCATGCCTGACCTATGTACCTGTTTTAAACAGTCTTCAAATTCCTGACCCTTTCTCCTTGGTGGAACATCAAGCCCGATTTTTTACTCAGCAGGGAGATGAGTACAAGCTAAGCTAGCTTCAGGCAGCCCCAGAGCAGCCCCTTACCTTTAATGTAGATTCGGAAGATGTCATCCTTCACATAGGACATGGCCATTGTCAATTCCTCATCACTGGAAAAGGCAACCAAGTCCCCGTCCTCATCTAGATTGTTTAAAAGACAGCACGTGAGCACCCAAGGGTTCTCAGCTAGACATAAGTTGTGGAATGGTCTGAGGCCAGTATGAAAGGGACGCTGACAGGGCTATACACTGGAGCACACCTACTTGGGCCACGGAGGCAGGAGCGAGAGGCAAGACTATCCCCTCGCTTTGGCACCTCCTGGAAGGTGAGTGCTCCAACCTGGGCCCTGGACCACAGCCACATTCAGGGGACAGAGGGCCCGTGCATAGGGACAGCAGAGGCTTCAGCTGCTGCACTTATTTAGCCTTGGGCCAGCTGGCCCTTCAGAAACATGCCACCTCATTCCACATCCGACCAGGCCCATGTCCATCTTCATAAATGGGAGATCCCTGCCTGTGACCTGCTCCTGAGGGGCGGCCCAGCCCCACAAAGGCCTTGGTGGCTTAGGAGTAAAGAAGACGAGTGCATCTGCCTGCTTCCTTCCCTAACAAAGCTAAAAATCAAGTATTTGTATGTAGTCTCCAGTTGTGACAGATACAGGTGAGCTCAAATGGCTTTAAAGCACCACTGTGCGGACCAAACCTCACCATCCACCATGGAAACAGGTGTGGCACCCAAAGATGCAAACAACCCAAATGTCTATCAGCTAATGAACAGGTAAACAAAACGTGGCCTGTCCATACAATATTATTCAGCCAAAAGAAAAAAAATGAAGTACTGATACGTGTCACAACATTGAACACATTACACTAAGTGAAAGGAACCACTTGCAAGACTACACTGTATGATTCCATTTACATGAAATTTCCAGGGTTGCAAGATGAATAGATACAGAAAGGAGGTTAGTGGTTTCTGGGGGCATTTGGATAGGGTGATGATAAAAGGTATGGCGTTTATAAGGTGATGAAAGGTTCTCAGATTGAATATGGTCCACAATCCAATGAAGATGGTGAAAACCACTGACTTGTACACAAAATGGGTGAACCCTTATGTCAGCTACAGCTCAACACAATTTTTTTTTTTTTTTTTAAGACTAGAAGGCCTGGCAGGCTGGCAGCACTCCAGAGGGAGGTCCCAGCACTGCCCCCTCCCAGGGGCCGGCCTTGGCCACCTCCCTCCCTCCTGGCCACAACCACCTCCCTAACCCCACCCCCAGCAGCCACCGGTCACACCAGCGCAGCAGGAAACAGCACCTGGGTGTCTGTGACCACACCAACACTTCTGAAGAATGTTCTCGTCTTGTCACTCTCTCCACTTGCCAGTGGGATAACATCTGTACTCCGCCTGGCCTGGAGCGTTCTGTTGGCAATCGGTGCCCTCCTCCCCGGCGCGGTCGCAGCGCTCACGAGGCGCCCGCACCACCGCGCTTGTTTACGCGCGTCACTCCCCCCGATCCGCTGGCGCTCCCCGGGGCATTATCTGAACCCACGACCTGGCGCAGCAAGATGTCACAGTAACCCGAGTGCCCGCCTGACCACCCCGTTCCCGCGGAGAGCCAGAGAGGACGCCCGGGCGCGTCCTTGCCCAAATTCGCAACACCTCGGAGGGGGAGGGGTGGCGTCTGACGCTCCCAGCCGAGCAGGGCCCGAGCCCCGGCCGGCAGGGTCCCACCGCCCCATGTCCCACAGGGCCGGCGCTGAGCAGCGGTGCCCGACTTTGGTCACCTCAAGGCCGAACTGGGGAACCCATGCAGGCCACCGCCACCCAGGGAGCAGCCAGAGCAGACGCCCTCACGGCCCGCCAAGTATCGCCGAGAATGGAGGGGGCAGCCACCCCTTTGCAGGAGGCCGGACCCGGCCTGCGTCACAGCCCCCGCCGCTCTCCGGCCAGCTCACCACGATAGTGCGCCTGGAAGCCGCCAGGCCGCAGTGCGGGGAACAGGGCTGCCACCCGGTTCAGCAGCCGATCGCAGGGCCCCAGACCAGCTGCGGCCTCGGCTTCTGCCTCAGGCTCGGAGCTGAAGCAGAAGCTGAAGCGGCGGATCTCGCGCGCCGCGTCCTCCTTGCCCAGAAGGTAGGCTTTCACCGTGAGCGACGCCATAACAGCCAGTCAGCTGGCGGAAAACCTGCTGTACCCGGCGCAACAGACGAGCGGCTTTTGTAGCGAACACGGAGGCCCCGCCCCGCCTCACGAGGGGCGGAGTCTGTCACGCCCGCCCGGCCCCCGCCGTCGCCGCCGCGGCGCGAGAGCCGCCCTGCCGAGGCCCTTTCACTACTGTCCCCTTCCCCGCTACCCCTCGCCCCGGGTCTCCTTAGCCCCCTCATTGCTGACCTCTCTCCTCACTGCCCGGGTGCACCAAGGACCCCAAGAGACCGGCCCTGGCACGCATCTAGGCCTGGGCTCCGGCCTCTGCACCTAGGATCAGGGGACTGGCGGGGGTCCCGCCCCTAGCCCCTCCCAGGCTTGGGCCGGGCAGTGACTCAGCAATATCCTCAGTTGGGGGTACCCAGTGCTGGGGGAGCGGGACACAGTCCCCATACCAGGGGGCTGCTAGGCCGCCCAGTAGGCATTGCTGACCAGAACAAGCAACTTGTTCCAACCCTGCCATGGTCAGCCTCCCCAGGTGGGGGTGGGGGGTGGGCGAGGATGTGAGTTGGGGGCAACATGCTTACAGACCATAGCATCCTGGGTGATGGGCCCCTAAGTAGGCTGAGGGACAGACACCTGACTCTAGCCTGAGCATCAGAGCAGCTCCCAGTTTAATAGGAGTGGAGTGGTCGCCAAGCATTCACTATGGCCCAAGAGACAACTCATGGACTTCTCAATTCAGCAGGCAGTGTCCATGGCCCTGCAAGGGCTCAGGCCCGCTGGCATTGTGGGGAACCAAGACGGTCATCCAACAGCCTCCTCAGCTAGGAAGGAAGAAACACCATTTTATGCCACCAGAGTGACCTGTCCATCAGTACTGGGCCAAGGAGAGGGGCAGGAGGGGTGATCACTCGATGGAGCCTCCCTGCTGGTCAGAATCTGCTGTGTCCAATTCATGCCATTTCAGGCCAGGGCTTGCAGGACCTGGAAAAACATTCAACATCCCAGGGTGGGTCAGTCAGATATGAAGGTGATGTGTGGGTGTATGCACAGCAGGGGCTGGTCGACAGGTGTGACTGATCCTTCCAGGAGGACTTCCAAGTGGGCAAGGCTGCCAGCCTGCCCAGAGCAGCCCTGTGGAAAGGGCTCAGGCCTCTGCCTGCATCCAGCAGGGGACAGTGGAAAGTGCCCTCTGGCCTGCTGGAGCCACTGCCTTGCAAACAGGGACAGGGGACAGAGAGAGGCATGCTGGCAGAGGCTATGGCCTGCAGACAGGTGCTGGCCAAGTATGACTCAGCAGCCCGGGCACCTGAGAGCCACGTGGCCCCACCAGGCCAGCTTTCCTGCCCCAGCCCCCAGCTAAGGCCCGGTCTGAATGGGGTGGGGGACACAAGGAAAGTCCTCCCGCTCTGGGAACACAGCTTTGAGGAAGCACTCAAGGTGCCCCACTCACCCCAAAAGGAACTCCTTTGCCTTCACACCATTTGGCCCCTTTGGGATCATGAGAAGTTTCAACCGGGGCTGGGGGCAGATGAAGAAATTCGAGGGGAAAAGGAAGCACAGAAGGGGGGTCCTTGGGAAGCTGGGGTAAAGACCCCGGCTCTGGTCCTTCCCGACACACCCTGCTGCCCCAGTGACCGCCCTGCCCCCACCAGAGGCCAAGGCCTCCTGGAGGTAAACAAGGCAAGGCGGGAACCCCCTGGCAGGGCCCTCTCCTCCGGCGTGGCGTCTGGCGTCAAGATCAGGTGGTCTGGCCGGCAGTGAGTCAGCGTCCCATGACTGCTGTCGTAACAGGGGGATCCCCGGGCCCTGCTGCCACCCATCTCAGTGACCTCTTACCTGGAGGCTGGGCTGGGGAGTGCCCCGGGGTCACCCTGAGTCCCCTGAGTAGAAAGAGCATGCAGCTGCTGGAGCCAGCCAGACCCTGTTCCCCTTCTCCCATCTGACTCCTTCCCCAGTGCAGTCCCACCCTGCAAGCTTCCTGCCTGCATTGGCCCCCTTCCCACCCTCAGGTATGCAGGCCCAGGGAAGGCCCAGCACCTGGATCAGGGAGACCCACTGTGGACTAGACCCATTTCCTCGTCTTCCAAATGGGGCTGAAGTAGGAGGACTCAGCTGCCCTCCCAGGCGATGCCCCGTGTGTGTGCAAGTTGTTTAGCTGCTTTTGGGGCTGTAATGCTGGGGGGTGGGGGGTCAGGACAGGGCAGAGACTTCAGAGGGGGCTGAGATAAAAGAGTGGGGAGTACAGGACAGGCCTGAGCCAAGCACCCAGCAGTCCAGGAGACCAGCCTGGGCAGCCACAGGGGTGGTCAGGTTCTGTCTGCTGCTTCCCCTCATGTTGTAACCACCTCCTCAGTTCCTGCTTCCCAAATAGTCCCATACCTTGGCAGTGGTGTTCTCAAGTTCACTTCTTTTCTTTGGGGTGTGGAGTCAAGTATCTAGGTGGGTGCTGGGACAGCTAGAGAAAAAAGGCCACCGAGGGATTCAGGCTGTGCAGCTCTGGGCTATCTTTAGGGAAATTGACCATCACAGGGATTCAGGCTGTGCAGCTCTGGGCTATCTTTAGGGAAATTGACCATCACAGGGATTCAGGCTGTGTAGCTCTGGGCTATCTTTAGGGAAATTGACCATCCCAGGGGACACAGTGCCTCCAGGCCCAGCACTACGCCCAAGGGATGAGTTCCTCTACAGGGGTCTAGGTCTTTCCGAGACCTACCGAGTCTGTGGGGAGCCTTCAGGTCTTCTGCACTACAGCCACTCGCTTCCACTCACATGGGAGGGACACAGACCTCCCTGCTCTCTTCCTAATAATGCCAGCTCATTATACCTGGTGACTTTTCCCTGTCTCTCCCTATGGTCTGAAACCTCACCCTCCTGCTCTGCATAGCAACCTCCCACCCAAAATGTCCCCTCCTCCGTGGGGCCTTCCTTGACCACTCCCTGGGAAAAATCCCCAGGCACTAGACATCATTTTTTTTTTTTTTTGAGACAGTCTCATTCTGTCACCCAGGCTGGAGTACAGTGGCATGTTCTCAGCTCACTGCAATCTCCGCCTCCCAGGTTCAAGCAATTCTTCAGCCTCAGCCTTCTGAGTAGCTGGGATTACAAGCACCTGCCACCAAGCCTCGCTAATTTTTGCATTTTTAGTAGAGACAGGTTTCACTATGTTGGCCAGGCTGGTCTGGAGCTCCTGACCTCAGGTGATCTACCCACATCGGCCTCCCAGAGTCCTGGGATTTCAGGCCTGAACCACCCACCCGGCCAGACATCACTTCCTTTTAGCCTTTCCTACTGAAGCCCAAAGCCCAGGCAAAAGGTGTTAGGGGCCATGGGAGGTGGCACGCCCACAAGGGGTTTGCAAAGATCTTTCCAAAAGAAAAGGAGTTCAAGTCATGGACAGACATGGTTAGAGAATTTGGTGATGCCAAGTTGTCAGGCCTGAGAGCCCCGGGAACCTTTAGCACTCCAGGAAGGCCAGAACTACAGAAAGAGGCGCTCTGGGCTGGGAGAATTTCTCCAAATAAATTCAAATACAGCCCGCCTCCGGGTGGGGGTAAGACCCAAGGCCCTCGGGGGCACTGAGGGGTCGCCCATGCCCGGGGACATCGCCACGTGGGAATGCGGGAAAGGGACGCCCAACGCCAGGCAGGGTCTAAAAGCACAGTGCAGAGCAGGGGCCGCAGCCTTGGGCCCCATAAAGTGCACACGGCCCGGGGCAGAACCCGCCAGGGCTCTGACTCGGGGCGCGAGGGATGTAGGGGTTACTGAAAGCCCCGGCAAAAGAGGGGGAGGAGACTGGACCCCCTCCCCGCCCTGGCCTCCACAGCGGCTACCTCCCAACGGAGCATGCCTGCGGGCACTTACCCTGCCCCAGGCGGGATGCCTCACAATCGGAAGTGGCCTGCCCGAGGCCAAGGGCCCCCATTCCCTATGTCTTCGAGGTAGAACTCGTTCCGCCTCTACGGTTGGTCCCGGGCGCAACCGTTGCCAGCAGGAGGGACTCGGAAGTCGAGCTGCGACGTGAGGGCCCCGCCCCTCGCCAGACTCTCCCTTCCTCGCCCACCCTGTGACCGGAGAGCCGGGGGCACTGCTGGGGAACCCCAAAGCAGAGAGCGGCAGGTTCTGAAAAGACAAGTGGGAAGCGACGAGAAGTTGGGAGGAGGCTGGGGAAAGACGGCCAAGTGACTCCTGAAGGGTCCAGGCGCCCCAAGCCCATCGAAGACTGGAGGCCCTCAGTGGCGCCTGGGGGGACTGTGGAAAAAGCAGTTCAAGGGGAATCTGGAGCGAGGTGGTGAGAGGTCAGTGTGGCCTTCTCCAGGAGCTCCAGCCCCAGACAGAGTTGTGACAGGCTGTGCCGGGAGTACTGGGAATCCCGTGGAGGGGGCTGCCCCTGCCCAGCAGGAGCAATGGCCCCCTCCCTCTCCCACCTCCCCCGATACGAAAACCATCCGGAAGAGGCCGGGCGCGGTAGCTCATGCCTGTAATCTCAGCAGTTTGGGAGGCCAAGGCGGGCAGATAGCGAGGTCAGGAGCTCAAGAGCAGCCTGGCCAATGTGGCGAAACCCCGTCTCTACTAAAAACACAAAAAATTAGCTGGGTGTGGTGGCAGGTGCCTGTAGTCACAGCTAGTCGTGAAGCTGAGGCAACAGAATCGCTTCGGCCTCAGAGGCGGAGATTGCAATGGAGATGGGGGGGAAGGGGAGTAGAGGGAGGGAAATTATCCTGCTAGCTCTTCCCATTAGCCTCGCAACCAGACTCAGTTCTTCAGCCTCTTTGAGAGGCC